AACAACGTCGAATCTAAAATTTAACTCTCAGGCCTTAAATTGTTTCCCTTTCCTTTCTTTTAAATTACCAGACAAACCTTAAGTTTTTTTATGAATTTAAATGAAAAGACTCTCAGATGAGGTTAAGATTTTTCTTATTGTGATGTAATTGAATAAACTGATATTTAATCTGGAACCTCTTACAGTATGTTTTCTTTATATATTTAATATGAACTTTTCCTTTATATCTTGTATATGTTTTCGATCCTCTCACGGCGCGGTCCCGGGATGCATTTTTTTTTTTCACAACGCAAAAATGCTGTACACGTTTCACTATACGATCACTAAAAGTTTGTTAGTTGTCAAATTCTTAAGAGTTTAGTTTTCCTCCCTAAAAGTAGAAACCTTTTCACGGCAAGTAGTTTCATATTTAACCTTAACATAGAGGAATTTCAGATATAACATGGTACCTTGAAGTAAAGCTATTTAACATTGGTGCCAGGCGTCTTTACCAGATAAGAATTTTTTTTTGGATTGAATTCTCGTTAATCTATATAACATTAGTGCCGTGAAGTAAGATTCATAACATTATTTCCCGGCGTGAACTTAAGCAATTTAACAGTTTGAGATTTGGATGTGTGTCAGTATCAAAAGTTACATTATCTACAAAGTGCAGAAACATCTGTTATCTCGTAAAATCTATTTACTAGGCATCCTGAAAAAAGGTATTGAAATTGAATTTTTTTTTTTTTTTTGTTTCAATACATTTTAGTATCTCGTTCTGTACAACACTTTGTAAGATTAAAAATGTCAAAATTTCTTCTGTGACAGGTATCTAAGGTTTTCTACTCCTGGATTGTCGAAATCATGGAGAACTTTGCACTGTTCTTCATATCTGTTATTTTCCAAAATGATACTTGCTAATCGTCATTCACAAAATATTGTAAGAAACCAGAATTTATATTTACCTTTGGTTACCTTTATATTTACTTTTGGTGTTCCCAAAAATTTAAAGCGAGAGAGTGCACAGTCTACGGAATTATATACCATTTTAGTCCATACTCATCCAGGCAACAGTAGAGCTCCATCATCCTTATCGTCAGGTTTATCTGAACTTTCATACAAATCAGTTATTTCAAAATCGCTCTCAGATCCGTGTATACTAACATTCGAATACAAGTCGCTTTCTGACTCGCTTCACAATGTACGCAATATTACAAAAATATATTTTATTACAGAACAAAAACCTGAGTAGATGTAAAGTGACATAGTAGTGTAAACCTTAAACATTACAAAATATGTATTTGGCTAATAAAAGTTTAAAATAAACAAACTATCTCCCAACAACATTAAAAATAACTTGGTACAAAAAATAAAGAAAATTTTTTTCTGGGTATAAGGTTAGGTTACGTTATTTAATTACGGCAAAGCCTCGAGGGCATCTGCCTAACGGGAGAGATGCCTTCGTGGAGGACTTCCTAAGGGAAACTGGCTCGTATACACGTTACACATGGGGAAAACCACGAAAACACCCATGCAGCCAACCCATTTGCGGGATTCGAACCTCGGACCGAACTACCAGTGTTCAGCGACTTTACTGCTCGGCCGCTGGTGGGCCATTTTTGGGGTATAAGAAATCGATTGTTTTTAATCTTTTTGGTGTTTCCTCATTTCAACAGGCAAAGGTGAGAAGGAAGGTATTAAAAGGAAACTTTTTGAAATTTGTATTTGCTGATCAGATGTTGCCACAATAGATATATATTTCTATAAGGTGAGACTTCTTTATTCCTAAAGCTAAATAGGGTCAGCATATATACAGATTAACTAATCTTGCAATTTGTCTATTACCTGGCGCAAGAGATACACGCTAAATATCACACTTTTTAATTTCCTGAATTCATGAAAAAAATTAATTTTAAAGGAAATAAATGATTTGTTTCACTTTTGAAATTGTTTATAATTCAAATTTGTTGTGTTGTAGTCAAAACAAGCTAAGTTTGTGCACAGCTTAAACTTATTTTTCATTTACAAAGAAATGCTGAGCAGCCGTAGTGTTAGAAAATCAGCAAATGCCCTACAATTTGAAATTCGCCACATATGAATTTCAGTTCCCACTAACATTTTAGACCGGAAGAAAAAAGGGTACACAGATCATATACAACAAATGAATGTGCTAGCTTCAGATAGGGTTACCAGAGTTAAAACGATCATTGCTGGCATTTTACTTTACAGTGATTTAACTGTAACTGTATTCCAACCATTTTATCCTCATGGAGACATGTTTGGACATTACATAATTTTTTTTTCCCCATTTCAGTTTACATACAGGTTTTGAACTTTGATTAATTTTTAAAAAACTAAACTCCCTTTTGCCTTATATTCGGAAGTTTCGCAATGAAGATATAAGCACAGTAACTCAATACATCAGCTTAACATCCAAAAAATTATCAAGAATTGCCAAACATAAAAAGTATATCTCCAAGCTCTCGGTCAACCAGTTCATCCAAGAAAATAGCATATCTGCATCTAAATAACAGTATGGTGAAAGGCCCAAATCATTACCGAACCCCAGCATAAAAACAGTCTCAAAACTACAGAAGCATTTGAAATCACTACCAAGCCATGCTGCAGTATCTCAACATATATCTGGAATGACTGGATACAGCAATCCTGAGGACACCAATAAGAGACTTTGATGAAGAAGATAGTCATCTACAAAAAGCATCTGTTTAAACATGGTTCCAGCGTGTCAATATAGATTATTTTCTGTCATTTTTAACAAAGGTATGGTATACTGTGAATTATTGCCACAAAATCAGATACTTAATTTGCAAAAATACTGTTCCTAAATGAGTTTTAAAAACAGAAATTGAAGCAAAGCTGCTAGCTGATCATTGGTTGAGGTATTTCATCATGACAGTGCTCAGCCCTACATATTGATGAATGTCGGACAAAACTTAATTCTGTATAGCTGAGAACTTTTCGGGTTTCCATGCCTTCAAGTCACTTTAGAAGTCTCTGAATGGCCTGGAGTTCACTTGTTTGGAGACGGTCAAACAGTACTTCGATAACATTTTTATGAATAAACCCATTGACTTTAGAGAGATGACAAAAATGTTTATGTGATGCAATGAAATTTTCTTATGATTTTGTATTCTTCATTCGTATCTATCATCAAAGAACTGCAGAACTTTCCAAACCACCAGTAACAGCATTTTGATACATGTAGAAATAAAATTTTTGTATGTTCATCATTTCCTTATTTTTTAATCTATCATTTTTATATCTGGTGTATAACGTGCACTCGTAAATCATGATTTCATTTTCTTAATTAAAAGTGTGTGTTATATGCTGTAAAATATGGGAATTACCGCCATTCAGTAGGAATTCTAGTATTGTTTATTTTTGAAATGTCATACAGTGCAATAAGTATTCAAAAAAGTTCATAAACTACTGTAATAGATGTATTCAATATATCTATTGAAGTAAAGGATTCAGTCAAAGTATGTCTGTTTAATCTAAAATTTGGAATGAATAACGTGTAGAACTTCCCATATATAGTATAGTATAATAGGCTCCTTTATTATGATAATGTAATGCAACGATTTCAAATACAAATCTTTACATGCTGTGCAAGTAGCCAGAAAGAAATGCACCTTTTGCAAAGCTTTGGCAAACAATGAACTGATTATTACTTTCATTCTTTGTTAGTTATCTTCTATATGTGTTTGTAAATGTCTGTGAACATGAAAAGTTTCAAAGAGATCAGTATTTTATACGCATTAGTTTGAAACTTAATTATTCCTTAATTGACTTCATAAGAAATTACTCATTAAATCTCTATAAAAATTTAGTTTATAAAAATCACACAAACACATACTTTTTATCTATTTCATTATTACATAAAAGTGAATTGCAATACAGTCATAAGTCTTAAATCCGGACTCGTCGAGACTTCGGCGATTCCGGATTATAGACCATCAGTTTAAATCTGGTAAGATGGCATGCAGAAATTATAAAATTAAAAATATGAAACGGTAATTTATGAAATAAGGAGCAATTATGATCTAAAGGGTATCAAAATAAATAAATAAATTAAAAAAAAAAAAAGGGGGGGGCTAAATATTTATTTGTTTACTTTATTAAACATTTCTTTCAATGCGCGCATGCGTAAAGCATACATTACACATAGTCGAAATTAGAAAATTGCAACCAGAAAACTATTTGATGTGTATTCGTGATATTTATAATGACGAGGAATTTGATTTAAATCATATCAAAGACGGAGTACATCGAGATGAAATACTACATTTAGTAAGGAATTATAAGCCTGAATAAAATAAAAACATCTGCCCTGAAGATAAGGATAGTGCTGACAGATCAACTTCCAGTTCATTGCGCACCGCGACGTCCCCCCCCCGGCAGAGCAGCGTGAAATTGATAAACAGATTTCGGAATGGTTAGAGAAACAAAGGATATGCCTTTATCCATTTTTTGCAGCAATTCCACTTTTTGTTTGATGGACATCGAAACATGCTTTCGTTTTGTAGATCCTTTGGCAGCTCCAGAATCGGAAATTCTTTTTGACATAATCGAAAGTTCAAGCTTACTTTTATAAAATTGCTCTAACAGTCTGCAAAAAATAATAAGCCGGATCCAATTAGAAGATTAAGGAACAGCACAATCTGCAACATTAACTGAAATAGATAATTAGATAATTTTAGCTTAGCTTATACCGTCTGTTATACATTAAACATGCATGCATTATGCGCAAGCGTAAACGCATATGCGCATGTGTAAAGGTATTATGCACAAGCGTCAACACATTATGCGTTGTCGCATGCGCAGAAAGTATGCAGCTTTGAGGTCCGTATTATGGATGTCCGGAATGATTAAAGACTTTTGACTGTATAATGATTTTTATGACATAGAAATGAATTGCAAAATAATGTTTTTCACAAACATTGATCTTTTTAAATAAAAAAATTTATAAAAAAATTCTAAACAAACTTATCATACAGTTTGAACAATTGAAGTTATGATTTTACTCTCTGATAGAATAAAAATACAGTTAATTTTCTTTTCAAGATTCTGTATAATTCACTTAAATTTTAAACATAATCAAATTCTACACAAAGCACAGATGGACTATACCTTATATTTTATCATATTTTAAACACCTACATAGTAATTTTCACAGAAAAAAAAAAAAAAAAAAAAAAAAAAAATATCAATTAACCCACTGAAATTATTTAATTTAAAGAATGCTAATCTTAACTGTGTATTTCAAAACATCATAACTGAACAACATTCTTCATTTTTATGTATTGTAGCTCATGCATCAGTCTAGTATTTCACCATCTTCTAGATCTTCTTTTGTTGGATTAACAGCATGATTGTCTAATATTGCAGAACTAAGCTTATCTGTTTCTATGGAATTGCCTACGGCATTTTGTTCTAAAAGTGATTCTTCTTCCATGTCTTTTGAATCCATATCCATTTGTTCATCAAGCATCATTTCTCCAGACTCCTCCAATTGTTTAGTATTTTTATCACCTAAATAAGTAAAAATTTATATTTTATGTACTGCATTTGTTTTAATTGATGATCAACACCTCAAATTAAATATTCTCAGTATTTTGAACCAAATGTTGTAGCCTTTTTATATGACGCATATTCAAATAGCATCTTCCTTTTTAATAAAACAAGATACATTTACAAACAAGATTTAGCATGAAATTTGACACTAAGCAATTACCTTGCCCCCCCCCCCCAAATTTTTTTGTGACCCAGTCAGCACTTGTACCACATGTACAATAACATGCTTCGCCCCCTTAATTTTTATTTGCTTGTCAATATGGAAGTCAATGATAATTATACATCTTTCAAGTTATCACTGTTATCTAAATGCTGACAGTCTAAGACTAGGAATTTGTTGTAAAAAGTGCTGAATGTTAACAATTTGTTCGCATCTGACATAGAAATGATAGACCAAAGTCTGATCAGCAAAGTGCATCCAAATATTGTCTCAAAACAAAAGATTGTTAGCATTTAACATCATTTTTTTTAAAATAAAAATTCTATACTCGGAGTGGCTAACAAGTCGATCATAGCTGAGAGAAGATTATTTCAACATGCAAAGGCAGCTTAGTCAAGACTCACAAAAACAATGAATCATGATGAAGAGCATGGAATTTTTTATTGCAAGTCATGAGATAACTTATAATATACTAAAACAATTTTAAACAAATTTTAGGATTTTGCAATTATGTGAAATCCTAACCATCCTAAATCATATCTATTGTCTAAATCTACATCATATCTATTGTCTAAAGACACGCATGTCACCATCTAATTTATAAAGCCAGTTGTTAGAATTGATTTGTTAAATTATTTGTACAGGACAATTGACTATTTTCTCCAGAAAAGTCACTAGCCTGGATTAGAGCTATGTCAAAAGAGTTGGTGATACTGAACGAGAGCTTTTAAGAAAAGCTCTCATTCAGTATCACCAACACAAAAAGTATTCCTACATATTTTTCCTAGGTAAAACATTCAGCAATTTCTTAGGTTAAAAGTTGGAAATTAGAATGATAAAAAGAAAAAAAGTTATGATCCGAGGATTGAAATTTCAAATCTTCTTGAAGATTTGTAGGATCTAAAATTCAGATATAAAATCCTTAAAAAATAAAATGTAACTGATAATTGTGTTCACATCTAAAGAATTAAATCAGTTGTTTAGTGCCAATTTGATCTCAGTGTGTTGAATAACTATATGGGAAAAAAACTAAACTATTTTTTGTGCAAAATCCTGAAAATTTTGACAGATTATTTTAAAAGAATTTGCTTTTTCAAATAGCATATGCACAAGCCAATTTCTCTCCATAAAGCTATCCTTCTCCTTATCCTTGTGTGCTTGGTCATATTCAAATAAACAAAAAAGCAATCAAACAAACCTTTCTCGAACAGCAATTTCTCTGTAGCATATGCTGTCCCATTTTACCTGGTTTCTTGTTTCTAGAAAACTACACATGAATTAAAAATTAAGAAAAATCACTGGACCTATTTTCCAAACTAATGCTTTATTCTTCACTCAGATGAAGAACCCTATTATGTTTTCATATTCATAAAGACCATTACGATCCATTCTTTTGATTTTAGTTTATTTCTGCTAACCTATCAACAGTTTAAAAATTTGGGATGGAAATCAGAAGGAATGCTTAGTTTCTATCTGGAAAACAAATCAGTCGCATCTTAAAATCTCAGGTATAAACTTTTCCGATTACAGAGCAGGAGAAATATAAAAATTCTTATTTTTATGTAACAACAATTAATTACAACAACAACAGGGGGAAAAAAGGAAATAAGAAAAGGGAGGAAGGAAAATGCAGAATTTACTTTAAATGCTTCTTTTACATGTGTTTCCTATTAAAAAAAAAAAAAAAAAAAAAAAAAAAAAAAAAATGTAAATATGTAATTGTGGCTTTTAGAAAAATCTACTAGCGGCTCTCAAAACTTTCTACATCCTAAATATGTAGTAGAATTTTCTTACTCAGGGTTCATAGCCACATTTTAGTTAAAAAAATAAGCACCTATAAGCACTTTTCAAGCACATTTTAAGGAAAAAATAAGCACCTGTCTAATTACATTATATACAACTGCATAACCTTAAAAGAAAAATTAGACTTGTAATTTAAAATATGAGCAATGCAATATTTATTAAGAGAATGAGCATTACCTCAACAATGGAAAACAATTAACTTTTTTTTTTTAATTTTAAATGACAGTTCAATTTACAGAATTAGTTTACAATGAGAGGAAAAAAAAACTATGCAGAACTAAACTATATTACAAAATTTAATGATGATATTTCAGTTGAAAATAAAGAAAATAAATAATAATAAGCCATATTAATTGTATTCGTTTGGCACCTAATAATAAATACAATTTATTTTTGCACTCATATTAATATTTAAATAATTTAACTTAAATCAAAATTCTGAACATTTTCTAAATTTTCATTGCATAACAGTTTTCCCTTAACATATATCCCAAGCAAAGTAATTTAAGTAAAAAAGAGGCACATTTCTGAAATAAGAAGACGGGAAATTGTTTCATTCAGTCATCCTTTAACAGTAAAATCTTAACTAACCAGCATACTCGGAAATTCCCGAATTTTCCGGATAGTAACTGGAAAAAGAGGAGTGGGGGAGATTGCAGCCATTCTTTAGATTTAAATTTAGGCTAAATAAATGATTTTGACATTTCGATATGTGCATCATATAAAAAAGACCAACAGAACTGAAGAAATATTCCGCTTAGAAAGCACAGTAAAACTCTTTTAAGTGTGTTCATAAACAAATCTCAGACTGAACATCAAAATTAATTATCTTCGCAAAATACCGCAAAAGTTATTGCGCAATATGTTATTGCGATAGTGCAATACGTTATTGCGCAATACGTGCGGCGTAATTCTTCCATATGTGATATTACGCAATTGGAATCAACAGCTGTCGGTATTCGGAGAATAGAAGAACTAAATAAAAGGAAAAGAAAGAAGACTTACCTAATCTGGGGTGTTTTCTGATTCTAATTTTCAACAGACTGCGTTAAATTTCCGGAATAGAATCAATCTTCGCTTGGGTTGGTAGACCGCAAAAACTTTTAGTCCTATTCAATCCAGATTGGAACAGTGACAAAAAAAAAAAAAAAAAAAAAAAAAAAAAAAAGCTTTTCTGGGAACTGTAGCGGTTTCAATACCAGAGATTTTTGCGAGAAAGGGGAACCCCCCTCCCAACCTTCCGTACTGTATAATGTATTGGCAAAGAAAATGAAATTAAATTTTGACTATTCGATTACTTTCCTTTTATTTAAGCCATTCCGAATATTATTCCTTAGAAAGCTAATCTGTGTTAAAACACACTTACCCATTTTTGGAAGTTTATCTATACTTCAGCAGTTACTGCAATTATATTATTATAAATATTCATACATATGCTCATAATATAAGCGTAAGAATCATAATAAACACGAATATGAACTGACCATGCGGAACGAGAATGCAAATTTATTAAAATCTTGATAGAAATTCAAACGTGTGTAGTATTTGGGTGGGACGAAAAGAATACCGAATGTACCGGAATTTTCTACGTTTTCGCAATTCTTTGCGAAACAGACGTGCACCTGTCTGTACTCTCGCGCGCACCATAGGTTACATTAATGCAGAGGAAGGGGGGAAAAGCAATTTTCGGGAGTATGATTCACCATCTGACGCTGCATATAAGGAAAAAAAGTTGTTTATTTAGTTTTGGCTTTGGTACGGGGGAAAAAATGCGCGTTCATTAAAAACAAAGGATTAAAAAAAAGCACTAAAAGCAAAAAATAAGCACTAAAAACAAAAAAATAAGGGCTTTAAAGAAAAAGTAAGCACCTATAAGGGCCTTTATATTTTATTTTCAAATATAAGGACTTATAAGCACTTGTAAGGACCGCTACGAACCCTGTTACTGTTATGAAGTTTGGCCACCCCTGTACATACAAATTACCATCATGCTGGCAAGAGGTCATAAGTAACGTCATAAAGTACATTGTACAATAAAAATTATTTAAGATATGAAAAATATATTAATTTCTTTCATTTCCCAAATACAGTACACTCCCGATTATCCGCAGAATTGGATGGCGTGGCAGCCGCGGATAACAAAAATTGTGGATAATCCGAAAAAAGCTAAAAACAGGTGTAGCAAAAGAGAAAGCAGTCATTCCAACTTTGAAAAATCATTTCATGTACAATAAAACGTAAAATAAACAGCAGGAAATGTTTAACTAACGCTAAATATTTTAGTATATCACTCAAAACTAACCTAAAATGCATTTTGTTAATGAAAACAGAAAAGTGCTTTGTACTTACGAGAGGCGTCAAGGAGACACAGGAAAATTAATACATATGTACCATTTTAATACTGTAATGTATTATGTAATTACAAAAAGCATAACTGTAAAACTACACCTTTTTGAAGAAATCAGTCATTTGTGTTTGCTTCTTGCTTTGGAAGCATTTTCTCTTGATCCGAGATTGCATTTTTCGTAGCATAAGTTCTAGCCAACTCTGCGTCATCTTGTTCTTCCAAATGGCTCAGCAGTCCGTCGACTTGTTGTAAAGCCACTTCGTGAGTCTTCCGCATCTGCATAGTGGGCTCTTCTTCACCTTCATTCTCGGTCTCTCCCCTTGTTTTCTTCACAATTTCATCATCAAGCATTTGAAGCCAAGTTCGTTGACGTCACACTCCAACCACTCATTAATGTTTTCAGCATCAACGTTCTCACTATATTGGTAAGAGTTGCTGTAGGCGTGTCTGCATCTTCATTCTCTTCTTCATAACTTAAAGGGGTTAGGTTGTTGTTGGCTTCAATATTAGGCATGAGTTTTCTCCATGATTTTATGAGGGTTGACGGTTTCACTGAGTCCCATGCAGATGCAATATCGTAGATGCTGTCCAAGATTGTGTAGTGTTTCCAAAACTCTTTCAGATCATAATCTTCTTCAATTTTGGTCATTAGCAGCTTGGCTCAGTATGTTCTCTTCATTTTTGCAATGACTCCTTGGTCCATGGGTTGGATTCGCGCAGTAACGTTTGGGGGGAGAAACTTTGCAAAAATTTGTCCATCAGAAGACTTTAGCATGCTTGTTGCTGGATGAGAAGGTGCGTTGTCGATCAATAGCACAGATTTTCCAGGCAGGTTTTTCGATTTAAGATGTTTGCACACTTGAAGAACAAAGATTTTTTTGAACCATTCTTGAAAAATGTTTCAGTTCATCGTACCTTTTTTTTGGTTAAAGTAATCAACGGGCAAATTTTCTATCCTTGTGCCTTTGAAAGATCTCGGTTTTTTTGACTTTCCAATAACAACAAGTCCAAGTCCACTGGTAGCATTACTGCAAGACATGATAGCGATCCTTTCCTTTGCTGCTTTTATGACCCGCCGCTTTACTTTCACTTTCAAATGCTAAAGTGCGAGAGGGAAGGCATTTCCAAAAAAGTCCCAATTCGTCGGTATTGTAAATTTGTTCAAAAGATAGCTCTTCTTTTAAAACAAATTTTTCAAATTGATGGTGGAAATCGTCGACTGCTTGTTGGTCACCACTAAGTTTCTCCCCATGAAGTCCAATTTCTCGAATTCCATGTCGCTGCTTAAAACGAGTCAACCAGCCAGAAGACGCATCAAAATTTCCTTTCAGGCCTAACAACTCAAAAAAAGGTTTTTTGCTTTCACCGCAATGATAGGACCTTTTACAGGAGTACACTCTTTTCAAAGTTGAGCTAACCACTCTGTCAATGCCGTGTCTAGCTCATCAAAATTTTTATAGTTTTTCACGTTTTCATTGTGGAAGCTGTGTCCGACATTGATGCAAAGTTCACCAGTTTGTCTTTTTGCTTTAGAATGTCACGCACTGTTGTTTCCGCGATTCCGTAATCCAATTGCACCTGCTGCCTTTTAGCGTCGTTTGCTACTTTAGAAATTAATTCTTTTTTTTTTTTTTTTTTTTTTTTTGCGCAATCGTCAACACAACCTTCTTTCATTTTCCTGACATTTTAAATCGGTAACGAAAAACACAAAACCAAAAAGCGCAAGCACTGAATACAATAAAAGATAAGAAATTAACTCCGACAGGTATGAAAACACTATCAGGCTTAAACTATCAATGACGAGTGGGAGGAAGTGGACGTGTCAGTAAGATTAAGACGAGAGAGTGCGGTGGAGCGGGCACTGCAAGGATGAGTAAGAAATCGCTTACTCATCAGAGGGGAAGGTTCCGAGAAGGCCTGGGATATTTTTGCAATAAATAAGCAAGATGTTAGCAAATTTAATGTTTCGCTCAGTTTTGTGAAAACTTTTATTATCTTTGCTTTACGCTTGTAAAAAAAAAAAAAAAAAAAAAAAAAAACACGTTGTGCGGCAGGTGCGTATAATCGGGAGTCTACTGTAGACAGATTTTTCTTGTAGATCTTATGTATATTTTAATTATAAGCATGAATTAGAAAACATTCCAGAAAAAATAAATGACATTCTTCATTCAGAAAAATCTTTCAAGACAAAATAAATTTATTTCCTCCTTAAAAATATTTAAATTTATTTCCTATTCCTGCATCCTGCAGATCTTATTAGATGGATAGTGAGTTATTGTTACATCTTAAGTACACACGAAGTACTGAAGAAGATTCAGTTTAGTTTAAAATAAAAAGATAGGCTTTCTTTTTTATTTTAGACTAAACTGAACATAAAGGGAAAACTTATACTAGAGATAAAATCACCACTTGTGAATACACATTCAATGGAATAAGAAATAACCTGTCTCAAAGTATTTTACTGGTATACAATTCAAAACATAGCTTAGCATGAGTGCTAAAGGCAGGATATCAATTTTTAGCAGAGCTGGCAAAAATATACTAACAGCAAATGTGATTGCAGAAGCTTTCTCAATTAAAAGATTCAAAATCCTCAGACAAACTAAATACATTCAAAGTTAAATTGCAGTCTGGTGAGGATAAGGAAAGGAGAAGCTACAATAAAGATTAAAATCATAATACTAGTTTTCACTAACAGAAACAATAAATCATATTTTTTATGAAATCTATCATAGAGAGAAAACAATATCAAGACCATATGTCAATACATCATCTTCCCTTATTACCAAGGCAGGAATGGATGCATGTACTATCAAGTCATAATATGTTAATACTACAAAAACCCTTTTTTTTGGGGGGGGGGTAGTCAGTTACATTTATTTATATTTTCATTTAATTTTTTATACCTTTTCAGCAGGCAATGAAGAACTAAAATTTAATCCATTCTATGTACACTGTGTGTGTGTGGGGGGGGGGAAGAGACAGTTCTTTATTTCCCGTTTCACTGGGCCAACTGACAAAATTCAAACTGTGTTTTTCATATCTCAAAAGCTCGACTTAGAATATATATGAGATTTATATAAAGCATTGTTCCAACATAGGTATTTTGACCAAAATCGGACTTTTTCTGAAATAACATACCAATTTTTTTCTATATTTCGATTCTACGACTCAAATTATGCCAGATTGCCAAGTTTTGTAAAAATCACATGAGCAGTTTTTTTTTTTTTTTTATTTTAAAAAATTAGTTCTCAAAATTTTAGCTCCTCCATGTTAATTGAATTTGGTAAATTTATTAATATCTCTTTTTTTAGTAAACTTTTTTTTATTCTTCCTTTCACATTTCGAAATTTAGGTTCATTCCAAAAAAAAAAAATTCCCCCTTTTTATGATTTATTTTTAAAATAATTTTATAAATTTTTTGAAAAAATTTTGAATTATAACCTATAAAATTTTTACCATCATCTTAAGTAGATGTATTTCTAAGCATACCTAGGAAAAAATTAGAGTTTTTTATTCAACATTTTCTAGAATATACATGAATTTACATATTGGTGCATTTTGAAATTTGACATTTATTACAAGCGATAAAAATGCCATGTAGTTTATGCACTTTGTTAAAATTATTTGAAAGTATGAAAGATGACTTTTTTCCCGTCCCTGTATAATGAATAAAAGAAAGGCAAACAGATTGCTATAAATTAAGAAGTTTCCCAAGTGAATTTAAATTTTTAAATTTCTCACCAAAAATTACAAAATTTAATATTCAGGGATAATTTGAATGTAGAATTAAAATATGGGACAAAATGGTATGTTATTTTAGAAAAAGTCTCATTTTGTGTAAAAATACCTACATTAGAACAATTCTGTATAAAAATCTAATATATATCCTAAGCCGTGCTTTCGAGACATGAAAAACACTCGTCAATTGGTCCAGTAGAATGGGAACTGTCCTCCTCTTTTTTGCGCAGTGTACTTCTTTAGTCACAACACCACATTTTTTAAAAATATTTTAAAAAACTTTTTTTCCTTATACGAAATACAATTCATCACTAAATACAGACCGTAATACTTATAACTAAATCAACAAATTTAGAATGGTATTTTTAAGACAATAATCATAATGATGAGCTACTATGAAATTCATAAAATGGCTAAGTACATACAAGGTGCCTAGGAAAGTCGCTTTAACTTGAAAATTCTTTCGAATAGACTCAAACCGCATAATAATCTCAATGACAGACAATAACATTAACTGCTAACACAATGTGACAGTTTGCTTTCGAGCTTTTTTTTTTTTTTTTTTTTTTTTGTGTGTGTGTGATGTTATTAAACTGTATCGAAATAAGTATGTATTTTTTACAATAAAAAGGTGCGTATTTCTTAATATCTATGGCTATTGCTTTCAAACATTTACACAAAATGGAGTGCATCTACTGTGTCTGCAGTCAATACAGGCGACAGTTTATCTTATCCGTGTGAACCAAACGTCATTTTATACTAATTAATTGATGCTGTAAAACTCTTTAATTGAAATTTTTGCTCTATCTCTTTTCGTTTTCGATTTGCAATGCCCATCTTCCAAATTTCGCCACTAGGGGCACTGTTGTATTTTGCATTAGGTTGGCGCAGTCACTTTACTATACCAATAACCTCACTTGCATAGCTGTACCTCTCTTCATTCGCAAGAATTTTCAGTTTAAAGAAACTTTTCTATGCATTCTGCATAAATGTACACGCACACCTACAAATACTTTCTAAGCTCCTGATAAATTTTTTAGTCCAGTTACTTCTAGAGATAGACATATTTCTAAAAGCTATAATTAAATTTTTCTATACAAACCAGCTAATTACAATTAATAAAATGCCTAAAAGACAACTTTTGTTTTATTTGTTACATATTTTACTTTATGAAATTTGGATAAGAGAATTCCCATATTATTTATTATCATTCTTTACACAAAACAGTCAGTCTTGATGTTTAGGTACTGCTCTCGATAGCCATTTTTCTTTTGCAGAAAGAATGCTTAAAATTATTGGAGTTAAATATTTAAAACAAAGTCTTTGGCAGTATGTCATGTAATTAACACACATATCTTAATTTTCTTTTATTTTTCAATATGGGAGTCTAGGAGCGTGCCTATGCAATATCCAAATATTCCCGAAATATCTATGTACAAAAGAGAACTTACACTTCCAAGATACAACGGCCACTTTATAGCGAAAAAAAAAAGCATGCTACTTGAATTATAATGATCTTGCACATTGCTTTTTGTAACATATTGTTTCCGTTTTTGATATTTCCCAACTCTAGCTTATACAATTTCTTTCACAAAAATTTAAAAATTAAGGCTGTTTCATTTTTTAATGATTATGATAGAAAGTTATAATATTTTACTTTCTACTATATTATGTATTAAAATTATTATTACCTTATTAAACATTTTACATCAGATTTAAAATTTACCTTTTGTAGTCTTTGGCTTTTTTTTCTTTTTCTTCCAAGAGGACTGTTTTTTTTTCCTGTTTTGATCATAAAACTTCTTTGCTTCAAAACTTGACATTTCACCTTCAAATATTTTGTTTAGCACTTCCTTGTCTATGCTTTTATCATTTTTAATCAGTTGAAAATAAACACCTCCTGGTGTTCTTCGACGAGTATTATTCTAAAAAAAAAAAAAAAAGAACAACTTCAGTAGGGTATTTTAAAATTTGGAATACTGGAATGCCTTGTTCTGTGAAAAGGAATAATATGAATATGATAAAACTACTGCACTAAATATTAGTGGATTCATATAAAGAATAGTGTAATGCTCAGTGAATGATAAAATATTGCTTTTTAAATAACTTAAATCATTTTTTTAAAAAATTTTTAACTTCGAAAAGTATTATCAGTCTAAGGGTATATTGTGATGACGAAAACATTAATGAAATGGCACATACAGCACTAAAATATACCATTGTTCAAAAAATTAGGAACACACAAATTATTGTCAATAAAATCAAACCTACATAATAGATATAACTGAAGTTACAAATTAAGTTTTTGACAACACACATGACCATAGATGGCTGAATGACACAGGGTCATGTTCTAAGATGAGTCACACTTCTGTTTCTCCAAGGATAGTCACTGTGTATGAGTGTGGCGTCGATGTGGAGACCAGTCCAAATCGGCAACAATTGTGGAAAGCCCCACAGCGCAACAACGCTGTATCATAGTTTGGGGAACGATTGCGTACGATTCCAGGTCACCTCTAGTTCGTATTCAGTGCACTATAATGGCCCAACTATACATTGATGATGTGCTGTGGCCAGTGACACTCCCCTACCTTCTGGGAGTGCCCAATGTCCTTTATCAGCAGGATAACGCATGATCACACACTGCTCGCATCAGCAAATGTGCTTTGGAAGGTATACAGATGCTTTCCTGGCCACCATTCTCTCTTGATCTCTCACCAATCGAACACATTTGGGATGTGATTGGACACCATTTGCAGACCCTGCCATTGCTGTGTTCAGAACATAAACTGTGGCAAATGGTTGACAGGGAATGAAGAGCTATTCCTCAGGACACCATCTATAGTCTCACTGCCTCTGTACCTAGATGTGTTGCTTCATGCATAGCTGTCCAAGGAGTTACCTTAGTGATTGCTCCATCCAGATCATTATAGACTCAGACGTTGTCGTGCAAGAGCTACAGAGTGTGTGTCCCAGGGAGATAGAAGCAGATTCCATCCTCAAGGAATTTAACGGTCTTCCTAACTGTAGCATGTTAGCCTATGCAGATGATTTCCTCATCATAGTCAATGGGAAATCCAAATTAGAAACCACTACACAGCTTTACTTGGATAAATTCAGTTCCTGTGTACTCTCCCACAAAATAACAATCTTAGCCACCAAGACACAGGCTACCATCATCAGAGCCAATAAACTCCTACAACGCAAGCCACCCATCAAGCTTCAAGGTACTCCAGTTAAAATCGTTCTGCAACTAAAATACCTTGGCCTTGTGATTGATCATAAACTTTCATGGCACCCGCACATCAGATATGTTAAAAAACAGAACTGGCTTTTTAAATAACCATATGAAATGAACTTCAGCGCCCTCTTGCAGAGTAGCCTCAAGATTGCTCGAAGACTGGTATCTCACTGTGACTCAGCACATCAGATTACATGGAGCAGGAATATGGGCAGATAATTTGAATATGCATGAACAATGCTTACTATAATCTCTGCAATGCCCACATCTTCTACAAATTAGCACGGGACACAGGACAACCTCCATGGTGGCATTACAAGTGCTTCTGTCCCTGGATCTAGTAGCAGAATGCGAGGTCAGCCCTTTCATGTGTTCTTCGACTATGACAGACTGATAAGTTATGGGGTACCACTTACCTGGATTATGAAAAAAAAAACTTTTTGATTTCCCATAGCTTTACATGATCTGAACTCTAATATCGATATCAATCTTTTTCCCCATGCGATAATTAGCTGGTGATCTATACAGATGGATCTTGAACAGAGTGTGGAATTAGAATTTTACACAAAGGTAAAGCAAGTACAAACATGGAAAAAAGAGCTTGAATCATAATAATTCAGTGTTTCAAGCAGAATTAACAGCAATTAACAAGGCACTCAACCTGCCAAAAGAGTTCAACTCCAGAGTCACAATATATAGTGATTCACTCTCGAGTCTTAAGGCAATAGGAAGCATGCCTATTTGCCATTCAGTCAACTTTGACAAACAAAAGTCTCTGTTCAATGTTCCCCAGGCTTTATATCCAGTCCTGTGTTGGGTTCCTGCTTACACAGGCATTATAGGAAACAAACAAGTGGACACAATTGCTAAATTAGCAGCAACAGTTTAAATCTTCCTGAGCATTACCTGCTACTGCCGAACTCATATCTTAAAAAGATAACTTCTGAGCAACTGATTAACAAATGGCAAGATAGATGGCATACCTCCACAACAGCTAGGAGGATCTTTAAGTTTATTCCACAAGTTACCACAACCATGCTGTCCTATTCGTCGACACTGAAAACCTTCCTGTCGGGCCACGGCTCCTTCTTAAATTATTTACAACACTTTGGACTTACGGATAATGATATGTCCAAAGTGTATCATATCCATAAGATATGATACACTTTGGACTAATGCATAATACATTTAAGCATGCGCATATTCATTTACGCATGCATGTTGAATGTATAACGGATGGTATAAGCTAAGCTAAAATTGTCTATTTCAGTTAATGTTGCAGATTGTGTTGTTCCTTAATCTTCTAATTGGATCCGACTTATTATTTTTTGCAAACTGTTAGAGCAATTTTATAAAATTAACCTTGAACTTTCGATTATGCCAAAAAGAATTTCCGATTCTTGAGCTGCCAAAGGATCTACAAAGCAAAAGCATGTTTTGATGTCCTTTAAACAAAAAGTGGTATTGCTGCAAAAGATGGATAAAGACATGAAGAAAGTGACAGAGGGGTGATTTGTTTCTCTAAGCATTCTGATATATGTTTATCAATTTCATGCTGCTCTGCGGGAGGTCGCGGCTCGCAATGAACTGGAAGTTGATCTGTCAGCATTATCCTCATCTTCAGGGCAGATGTTTTTATTTTATTCAGCTTATAATTCCTTACTAAATGTAGTGTGTCATCTCGATGTACTCCGATATGATTTAACTCAATTTCCTCATCTACGTATTTGATGTGTATTCGTGATATTTATAATGACGAGGAAATTGAGTTAAATCATATCGGAGTACATCGAGATGAAACACTACATTTAGTAAGGAATTATAAGCCAAATAAAGTTTCTGGTTGCAATTTTCTAATTTCGACTATGCGTAATGTATGTTTTACGCATGTGCATTAAAAGAAATGTTTAATAAAGTAAACAAATAAATATTAAGTTTTTTTTTGTAAATTTTGATACCCTTTAGATCATAATTGCATTTTATTTCATAAATTACGGTTTAATATTTTTAATTTTATAATTTCTGCATGCCATCTTACCAGATTTAAACTGATGATCGATAATCCGGAATCGCTGAAGTCCCGACTAGTCCGGATTAAAGACTTTTGAGTGTATAAGTTATCTTTTTGTTCAGGAAGAAACACCATTAAACAATTTTATTATCTGATACACCTCAAACCTCTTATTCTGATTTTCAACCCCTTTAGCTTCCTAAGGGCTCCTTTTTAATTTTTGGATAAATTTTAGTTTGCATCTAAAATGGGCCTTAGAAATAATTTCCCTCCTTGCACCAACAGTGAAAATTTATTTTGGAAATAACCTGTTTGTGTATCCTAACCCAGAGGGCAAATTTCACCTGCCTTCTCTAGTCTTTCATCTGAAATTAACAAAGAATTAAAAAGAATTTCCCTAAAGAAAAAAAAACAATGCTTTCAAATCAGCAGTTTTTATGATTACACTGAGAGATGGACCTTAAGTGCATTTCCATTTTAGGTGAGCTTTCCCTTTGTGTGACCTTATCACACCATACAAAGGGAAGAAGGCATGACTCCCGAATGACAAATTAGTTGTCAATCACCTCTTTTCATTTTTCTTGCATTCTAGGATTTTGGAAAACACAAAGCACTGGACGTCTTTTGGAGGCTAATATGCCACAATTAACCCCTACACTTGTGTAAATTTTTTACCCCAGACAGTAATTTTGAAATAGATGAGTCTTTCTGTTGGGAAAAGGTGAAGTGCTGAAATAAAAATTTTAGCTATACAGAGATGAATGAAACTTGAGTAGAGCAAACAAAGAATAAAAAGAAACTAGTATACTTGTATTCAGTCCTAGCGCAGGGTCAGTAAACTCCCCATCCCTTCATGAATATAATATTGAATTCTAAACAACTTATAAATTAATCATAAAAAATTATTACATCATGAACTGTTATAATATAAAGAAATTCTGTCGGTGCTGCCATCTATTGGTGCGGGCGAAAGTATATATTATATACCGTTTTTAAAATCATATAAATAATCTATTAATTATCACTTCTGACTGGAATGAAGTAAATATATAAGATTTAGCATGTGTACGTCATATATTCAGCAAATTTGAATTTTTTCTACCAGTCCAATAAAATTTATCAATCTTCAAACATAATACATTGGAACGAGGTATATTAATTTCATAACTGCAAAATATTGAACATTCATAGCATGGTGCTGCCATTTAGAATCAAAAGAAAACTCTAGAAACTTATGATTATAGCTTTTGGCATTGAAAAATTAGCATTTTTTAGGAGGTTAAAAAATTGACAAACAACTGCTATATTTTATATATCAGTGCCCTTCAAAGGGTTAAAAAAACCTGCGGAAAGGTACTGAAAGGAGTGGACACTCCACTTATTAAAATATCAAAGTGCACATCGTAAAGGTAACACAAATTTGCAAATGACATTCACATTATTGCTAATAACCCCAACTGTATTGATACATGTAATATATTACATACAATTATAGGTAATGTAACAAACATTGTTTTAAAAGTATGCCTTAGATAACGTAGTGCAAATTAAGTTAATGTACTGCCTTAATTGTAATATGCAAATTGAATGTTATATAGTATTTGTTAATGCATTTACCTCTCAATGTAGCACAACGCCAAGTCATGGTAATGGCAAATGTCAAAGTACTATAATACAAATTGAATGTAAATTATGTGATTAAGTGAACTATGTCTTTGAAAGCCAGCTAATGCAAATGCTAATACAGTACAAAGTCCGTAATCCGGACCTCAAAGCCACAAAAATTTTTTTTGTTGTATGCTTTACGCATGCGCGTAAAGAATGCGCATACATTACACGCCCTATACTTCCATAGTCATAACACCTTGGTTCTTTACTCTTATTAGGTATAGCGTGTGCTTTACTTTGTGTGTTAGTACTTGAATAACCCTTATTCTTCATATCTAAAATGCAGATTTTCTCATAAATTTTTAATTTCACTTTGAATTTAGAAATAGTTTTACACCCATACAAAATAATTTTGTTACTACTCTGATCCAGTATCCCATTGATTACATAATCAAGAATTGATGAATCATCAACAGAACCACGACTGGCTATTTCATGCATGGCAATTAAATATTCAGAAAGGCATTCACCAGGTTTTAAGTGTCGTTTAAGTTCAGACACAGTCTAAATGAACCAAATTTTTTTCTACTTAGCACGATATAACTTGCGAAATCAGAACAACTTGGCTTAATGATTTGTTTCTCTAACCATTCCGAAATCTGTTTATCAATTTCACGCTGCTCTGCGGGGAGGGAAGGGGGTACGTCATGGCACGCAATAAACTGAAAGTTGATTTGTCAGAACTATCCTCAACTTCAGGGCAGATATTTTTATTTTATTCGGCTTATAATTCCTTACTAAATGTAGTATTTCATCTCGATGTATTCCGTCTTTCATATGATTTAAATCATTTTTTCGTCATTATAAATATCACGAATACACATCAAATAGTTTCCTGGTTGCAATTTTCTAATTTCGACTACGCGTAATGTATGCTTCACGCATGTGCACGTTGAAAGAAATGTTTACTAAAGTAAACAAATAAATATTAAGCTTTTTTATTTTTGTAAAATTTAATAACCTTTAGATCATAATTGCTCTTTATTTCATAAATTATGGTTTCATATTTTTAATTGTATAATTTCTGCATGCCATCTTACCAGATTTAAATTGATGATCTATAATTCAGAAACACCCTAATCCGGAATCGCTGAAGTCTGGATTACGGACTTTGTACTGGATTAGTATAAGCAAATACGATTTATATTACTATGTCTTCGTAAACCATCCAATGCAAATGTTAATATTATTATAAGCAAATAATTCTGTAACAAACAAATGTATTTGTAACTTGCCGAACATTTGTCAAAAAGATGACAAAATATATTTAAAGCTATGACTTTATAAATCTTATTATGTCCCCAAAATGCTCGTTGAACTGCCAGCTCTGTGTGCTGCAGGTTTGTAGATTTTCTATTGATCAGGTTCATAATTCCGCTTGGAACATCCTTGGGTCGGAAGCCTAGTCAGTAGTGAGCTGATGTTGTTGTCGCTCTGTATTATGCATACCATTTCAAAATAAAGATAATTTATTTTTGTATATTTTTATTGTCATTGTCTTTATTAATATTGATTTTTATTGTATTTTCTTTATTCTCATTATTATATTATTTTATTTCCTTTTCATCATCATCTTTTCTGTTTTGTTGACAATACTGTTAGAATTTACATTTAATTTTTTCACAAATTCATAAAATTTACTCCAATCCATTATAAGTTTTCTATAAGATTATGGTGCCCTACTTAATGATGCATTAAAAAGAGTATGAAACAGCAATTTTCACTCAATATTCAATCCTTTCTGCAAATGTTATTTTTCGTCTGGCTAAAGACATAAGCACTGACCCATTTTCAAGCTAAGAAGTGCAATGGTTAGAGGAAAAGATGATGTGATGAACTTATTTCAGCCACTGGAACTGTGGCTAAACTTCCACGATGGTTAATAATATGAAAGGCAGGCTTGTTATCAATGAGCATAAGGATATGAATAGGGAGGACATGACAAATTTGGAAATTTTTTTTTCTGCAAATGTATGCAGGCATTACTATACAAGACTTTTAACATACCAACTCTTTATGTTCTAATTTAAGAAAATGATTTGTTTGTTCTACTAAAAAGAGGTGCTGAAAAGTAGGGAATTTACAACCTGTATTTCTATTTTACTACTTTTTACAATGTAATAAAAATGAAGCTGTAAATTACTAACAGCTATATTAGAAACATTTTAAAGTTTTTATTATATTATATAAATTTTCATGGAAAGTTACAAGCAGAAATGATTTTGAATAGGGACTCTTTATTCACTGGTACAGCAAAGATGCATCAAAAATTAAATTTCACTGTCTCAGACTTTAAAAAAGAAAGAATTTTTAGAAATGACGTACAGATTAAATTATTGTTGTTTCACATAATAATTATATCTGATATGATTTCGAACTACAGCTATAATTGAAATTAATTATCACTTTCAATAACATATTATTAAACACTGCACAGGGAGCTAGTTTTCTTTTTTAAAAAAAAAAAGTAATAAGTTCAAACTTTCTTAATGAAACCAGCCAGTTTTACTTTTTGCCGCCTCATAGTTTATTTCGATTATGATTCCACAATACATAACAATCAGAGCACTCATAACTTGATAAGAAGTGAAACATACACGAAGAAACAAAATTAGATAAACTTAAGAAAATGCTTTTAAAAGGTTACAAAATAAACATTCTAGACAAAATACTTTGAAAGCTACAAGTAGTTAGAAAAATTACAAAAAATTCCCAACAGAATGAATAGTTACAATAAACTTCCAACAAAATATTAAATTACGTCTGCATCATTCAATCTTTGAGTTTCCATTTTAAAAGAATTATAAGCCCAAACACTGAAAGCTTACCTTGATCATCATCCCACCATTGTCCTCTATCTCTTCAGTCATTTTTAGCAATTTCATAGCTTTTTCTATGCCAAGAATTTTCACAACTCGAACTAAAGTGCAAAAATATAAAATTGTAAACATTTAAGGAAAACACAATAAGTATTTGCCACTGAAATGATGAAATTTACTTCTTAAATAAGAAACAAAATTTTAAAATAAATTAAATTCAGGCTTGGGCTATATTAACTATACAAAAATACTCTATGAATTTTGAAATACTCTTACATGGAATTCTTTTTGCTGAATAGAAAGTCTATTTTGGAAGCCAAATTTAATTGCTTAAATATCAACCTGCGAATGCTACCTCAAGCCATTCAATGCACCAATACTATTCCAGTCAATTTTAGACTTCATATAAAATTAAGAGTCAAAAGATCAGATAAAAAGATTTGGATCAGAGAAGCATGGATGTCAGTTTCATATCAAGATGACACACCATCCATCATCCAAACAGTATTCTGAAAGGCATTTCAGCCATGTCTCCAATCCATACACATGTAATGGCAACTACAATAAATCATGAAGATAGCCATCAAAGTAATTAAAACCAATTCTTCTTGCCTACCTGTTCATAAATTATGGATCTGGTGAAATTTCAGTAGTCTTTCTGTAGCATCACAGTCTTTCATATAACAGCCAAACGAGTTCATCTTTGAAACTCATGCTTTTCCATGAAAAATGCAACCAGTGCTAAAATAGAAGATTATTTGCTTTGTTTTGTTCAACAGATAATTTTATTTTTCAGCTACGGTGCTATCATTTCAACTGCAAATCTAGAACAGATATTCTGCTGTGGATGTTGGCTTATTTTCTATTGTTTGAAATTTAGCATTTCCATTGCTTTTTTCTTTGATACACACAGTTCCTCCCTTTCAAGTTGTTTTTCATCTTGTAGCATCTTATGCTATTATGATATTTGCATTAGTAATTTTTGAGAATTATATAAATTGTAATCACGGTATAATATTATACCCTTTGTTAATATATCACAAATGCTTGTTATATGCTAATCTGAGGTGTCCTGAAGAAGCTGTAACAGATTCACTCACAAGGTTGTCACTAGTTAATCATCATCTACTTAAATTTTAAAGGACAAATATTACTAAATGTATATATATACAATTAAACCAACAGCAGTATTAAATAGCAAATTTGCCAAGAATTTTAATTTATTATTGCATGCAGATGGGACATGATGCAAAATTTTGATTTACAGTTACAGAGGATAAAATATTAATGCAAGCAAACAAATATAAAATATAAATCATTTAAAAAAATACCTGTAAAAATATCTACCCTTCTAATATTGAATTAACAATACTTCTTTAACTCCGATCTTCATTCTAAAAATCTTTTGTAACATAATCTTTACTTCCTGTAATTCTGAAAGAAACCCGTCATCTAATCTCTGTTGTGGAATTATTCCTAGGATGTGATGTAAACTTAGCCCAGCATCCGGACATTAATAAAATGTAATCTGCTGTAAAAGGTCTTTGCGCAGTCTCCCTCTTATTTGCTTTTACTCTTCTTCATGACCACTCTTTGGTTCGCCACCTCTTTGTTTCATCTTGCTGCTAACTATGCCATTATCTAAAATGTGATACGCTATATAAAATTATGGGGTGCATGTTGCACCCATGATGAGGTGTGAAAAAGGATATGTTTTCATAATTAGTTCATTGTCTAGCAATAAAAATTATGTTCAAGGCCACATCTATCTTCAGATATTTCTTTTGTTATGCATCATTCAAACTACACTGTGAAATAACTGCCCAAATCTGTTATAATCAAAAGATAATTACAATTTTTATTATTACAGGTAAGTCAGAGAGGATCTGATGAGATGCTAAAAACTTCAATGGAAAATTTATTCCTCAATTGGATTTCAATAAAATATCTACAAACTGCATATAAATATGCCTGTTCATCTGCAACTTCAAAAGTTCTAACATCCAATGAAATGAAATGCGACATTACTACTACAATATTCAAAAGGAAAAAAAAGTGTGTTTTAAGTCTTCAGGGATTTAACACTTAAGAGATTCAACATTAGAGTGTATTCAAGGTTGCTGATCTGAGCTTAATATGTTTCAAGTATGTGTGACAGAAAATTATTTGTTGCATTTCTGTCCTAATAGCATTTTGTCACTCGAAAACTCAAAATTATCATTTCACGTAAACTTATTAAGGTTCATTTTCCAATGAAACAAAAGTGTTAAATATGCTGAAGACTTTTATATTTTATACCTAAATTTTGCTTCAAATTTCTACAATTTGATTATGCTGTTTTGAAAAAACATAAAATTATTGTTCAAGGAATAAAAGCATGATAATTCAATATTTTTAAATGCTTTTAAATGCATGAATTTTGAAAGTAATTTTAATGTTACTTAATATTGTTATCATAGTTTACAACAGTGGTTCTCAACCTTTTCACTAATGCATACCATCTAAACAAAAATTGAAAACCTTTAGTACCACCACTACATTTTCAATTTCTGAATAGAAATATTAAATAATAATAATAATAATAAAATCTGAAAGCTTTCGGATTTTACATTACGCCCAAAGGGATGCTTTTTTAACCTTTTGTGTGTTACCTTTATTAAATACCATGCTCTTCGCACTTAAACCATAAAATTCAATTCAACAGCATTATCGCAAAATAATTTAAAAAATGAGCATATCTTTAGAATTTCCGATGTCTCGTGCGCTGGATATAAAAATCTTTCTTTTTTTTCCCGTACAGTTTTGCTATTGCTTGCTTTGAAATCGTCGAGTTTGTTAATCAAAAATTCGTTGTAAATTTAGTTTCAGGTGCGACTTTCTTTATTTCAAAAATCTTTCAGGAATGTCTTCCTGTTAAAGCCCGAGCTCTGTCACTGTACTTATTTGAAGGACATTCTCAGACATAAAAACTGTCAATTACTTTGAAAATTTCACTTGCAGTGGCTCTATCACGAAGAGATTCACAAAATAAATACTCTTCAGCAATTTGTTTATCTCCTTCAAAACGTATGTAGACTAATAATTGAACAAAGCTTGTTATATCAAAATTTTCATCCAATTGCAATACGAAATATTCACTGTTTTTGTTTACTATTTTTTGAATAAGTGCCCTCTTATGGAATTTGTCATTTCATGAATTCGTCGACTTTCTGTATCATTTAATAACGGAATATTATTACGTTCATTAGCCTCTTTTTTGCTGAACAATGTTAAAACTATATCTTTAGCTGCTGGTAATATAAGGTTTTCTCCAATAGTGTGAGCATGCCTAGTCTTAGCAATTTTTAGGCTTACCAGGTAACTAGCTTCCAAAGTTTTTTCACTTGAAGTAATAAAACCTTTCATTACTTGTCTACTATTTTTGAACTCTGATAATTTCCTCTTAAAATAGCCTTCAGATATATAGTTTAAATTTGCATGCAATTCAAGATATCTTTTAAAAGACGATGGTTTCATACTTTGATTGCATAACAGTTCACCGCAAACAACACATTGAGGTTGAGGGTTCATTTCATCTCCATTCCACGTAAACCCAAATGATAAATAACTTTCATTATATTTTATAAATATTTTTCTTTTCAATATTCTTAGTGCTAGTAAATTGTCCTGGATCCGTCCCCTGTGAATCATCACTTTTCCGCTTAGTCAATCCTAGCCATTTTTCCATTTTGAAAATGTAGGTTTGTTTTACTATTTTTTCACAAATATTTAAATGCACAATACATTAAGAGTTCTTAAAAAACAGACGACGATATTCTCAAATCGAATAGAAAAGCAAGGAATACAAAGCAACAAGAAGACAAAATACCTACTATTAAAGACAGAAAACCAATGTAAAAAATTATTCTCATTGAAAATAGAGCAATATGAGCCCGAAATGGCGACATATAAAGTGCTGATATGCTAATAAATCAATAAACTCTAACAGAATTAATGAGATACAATTATCTTTTTTATAGGAACTTCTTTATATTTCCTATTAAATACAGCATCCATTTCTATTACACCTTTTAAAAACATCATTAATGGCAAATTTTGTTATGTCCACGGCTAAAAGATTTGTGAAACGTACAACTTGGAAGAACCACGAAAACTGCCATACAGACAGATCGTTTGCCTCTTGCTAAAGTCTATAAGCGGCTATTGACCCTGAATAAAGCCCAGATTGCATAAATTTAGGAGTGTTGGAGAAAAACATCAATCAGTATATCAGGGTTTTAATTTTTGAATTTAGTTAAAAATACTTTGCTTCTTTGCGTACCAATGTTTTATGGAATAGTAAACTGCTAATAATAATAATTATTTTGAGATTTGAACACCTAAATGCTGTTTCTTCTACTGGATTATCTGTATTGCATTACTGAAAAATTAAAAATTGTATGGTATTAGAAATTTAAATTTTTCAAATTTCGTTTAACAAATTTAAGATTTTATTAGGGAAGGTTAACTTGATTGATCTATTTTGTATTATTGTTTAACTATCTCTGAATTAATATTTTGAATTATTTTAACCCATTAGCCACTGGTGTTGCACTGACACAATGGTTGAAATAAATGCAGATAAAAATTAACCTACCAAAGATATTTTATATTAGCAGATGATTTTATGCAAGAAATATTATGAAGATTATTTCAGTAAAAACACATGTATTCAACATTTATTTTTTATAATAATTATTCATATTCAAAGCAGAATTTAAGAAAAATTTTCGACCAGGTACTTTTGCTGAAAAATTTTAAGGGAAGAATCATCTTCTTTAGGGGTGAACTATTTCTAGCCAAAGTCACTGCTTATCAGAATATTCCATCAATCAGCTGTTTGCATTTGTGTGAGGACAGAAAGGAAAACAGGTGTTGTGAAGTTGCAATATCAGCAGGAAAAGGGTATTCCCCTTCTTTACTCATGCCTATGGTTGCTATGGTTGATTTTCATTCTAGGCTTTAAAAATGCCTAGAACAAGGTGCCTTACATTAGAAGAAGCCCTTCAAAGATTTTTTGATGAAGAAACAGATGATGATAATGACTAGAATGAAACCGATA